ACTATCGCCATCTTGTAGCCATCACAGTAACCAATAAAATAAATACAGATTCCTTCTTTAGGTTTGTTTTGGTTATAAAATTCTGAACTGTTTAAAAAACAAATCTGTGGTTATTTACGCAATATTTTGTTTATTCTTTTTCTATGAGTTTGTCTATTTTATGATTCTTTTGTAAGTGGTTTATTCTGTGGGTTTAGTTAATTGAACTTGGTGATTTATGTGAATTTAGTCATTATGGATATTACGGTGAGAAATTGTACCGATATTGTTGACCTTCACGTGGTTCTTGCTGAACAATGAAATATCAATTAGACAAAAATGAGGTTTATTTAAAATAAACGTCATTTTTACAATAAAATATATTTCATTGACAAAGTAGAGGATTCCTTCCCCACCACAGTCTAAGTTTTTTACTTAGTTTTAAGTATGGGTTGTGAACTGCGACGTCAGTTTTTTTAAGTTGGGTTTAAAAATGTTTCTTCGCCTTTAAATGAGGGCCTCACCAAAATGAAATGTCACGGGCCGCCACTGGTTGTCTATTCTATACTCTTTAATAATAAAAACCCCAGTAGCACAAAGATATTGGCCCAATATTCGTAATGGTTAAACTTTTAAAGTGAAAAGTTGTTTATTAATACAAATGTTAAATGCACACAATACACGTTCAGTTAAGTAGTTGACCAGGAAATAAAGATCGCGGTCTATTGGACCCACGTGTGCTAACACGAAGACATCAGGGCGAATAAGCGTGCCAAGCATGATGCACTTACCGTGGTCGTTTGGTTTACAAGAAGTTTTACTTAGAAGGTAGCACCGGTACCGGTACCGATGCCGGTGGTGGCCTGTGCCTAAGCACGCGACTAATTTGTTTCGTTACATCGAATTCCTCTTTTCTTACATGTGTACATCGATAACTCGATTTTTTTCCAAAACGATATCGACTAATAGAGAAAACTTTTCAAATCATTCGGTGATGTCATATAATTCCTTTTCTACTTTGGTAGGTAGCAGCGTCTAGATTACAACGGGTCAGTTTATATTTATGAGATTCTACATAAAAGCCTAATATAAAGATGTATACATATATATATTTGTATAGTAGGTACTACCCCAGTAGCACAAAATATTGGTCCTATATGTGAGGCGTCTAAAAGCTCATTGAGAGTAATTAATGACTGTAATGTCTTATTATTATTTTTTAAATATGGTTTTACAAAACTGAGTCAACTATGTTACCTTATGGTAACGCAATGGAATTTAGGGTAACGCAATAGAATTTTTCGACAACAAAGTGGATATTTACCGTCGCTTTTATTAAAAGTAGTTTATGATTAACCAATTTAAAATTATTTGTAATTACAACTCATGATATAGATTACATCCAAGGAAAAATTCCACGCAATATAAAAGTACTAAAAGGGACCTTCACCAGCTTATAGTCAAAGAAAAAGGGTGTCTACAATTTAGAAATCTAAGTTGTTATTCTGCAAGTGAGCACCACTACAAGGGATTTTGTTTATGCATTACTCTAAAATCGTACCACCCTATATAGTTTATTTTTTACGTTATCTGATTAAGACTTTGTGTACCCCTGTCCGTTGTGATACCAATGTCCATTTCGTTACTTTTTTTAGTTTTTGTTAAAAAAAAATACATAATGATTTTTATACACTATCACTTGGTAATACGTGTTTATAAATTAGAGTTTAATTCACTAATACAGTGACTAAAAGAAAATATTAATGGTATTGTTTTTTTAACAAAGAATCGGAATGGTTTCTTTTAAAAAGTAACTTAACGAACATACATATTAAAAAACGCATACAATTTTTAATAAAAAATAAAATAAAAATTGGAGTCAAAAGTTTGTGAAGTAAGTAAATTTTATTTCCAATTATTTTTATAACAACTTTTTTATTGAATTAAATTGTTGGATTTCAAATCGGTAATATAAAGCTAGCTAAACAAATTTTTCCGAAAAAAGTGCACTGCCTGTCTTAAATGTAAGTAAACAAAACATTTATAAAAATCCAACCAAAAGTCAATTTAAGCAAAAAAATATTTTGATCTTCATTTTCCTGAAAGCGGGTGTTTCTTGAAAATGACCCATATATTGGACCAATATGATTACGAATATTGGGCCAATATATTTGTGCTACTGGAGACCTACCTACGAAGACATGTCTTGCTTTTTTTCTGTTAATATACATTTGCATACTTTTTTATTTTGTTTTCTATAAATAAATGTTGCTAAAACTTAGGCTTGATTATACATTTTTGCTACAAGTTGCTAATTGAATAATTCCTTCTGGATTATTCGGTCACAAAATTTGTGTGTATTGTGTATATTAGTGTTACAAATTTACTTTCATAGCACTGACTACCTTTATAAAGATTTAATTAACTTGACCCAAATAATTATAATTATATGGATTTTCCAACCTTCATTTTTATTTTAAATAAATTCGTTTATTTATTTATTATTATTTTATTATTTAACGACATTTTTTACATAACCATCACACCATAATAACAATGTTATTAAACATACAGCGGTCAAAATGTTAAAAAACTTATCTAAATAATACTTCTTATCGTTTCGACATAAAAAAAAGTAATTACACTTCAAAAATGCACAAAAAATGATATGCGATTAGAAAATTAGCAAATCTTGCAGACCATAACCAGCACCAATATTTTTTCGGTATTCTATGTTAATGCAGTTATAATAATTAGAATACGATATCTGTGTTTGGGTGAACCTTTTGAATATTCGTGAATTTATGTTTTTCTAATATGTAGGTAAATGTTTTTGTCTGCTTAAATTTCTTGTTAACGTCTAGAATGTTTTGTTTTTAAAATTTAAATCTCACTCAAATTAATAGGTGTAAACCTCTAAATAAGAATCAAAGAACAAAATACAGATTTATAAGTACTTCAAAATAGTAAAATAATAAATTATAATCCTGTTTACAAAATATTGAAAAACTTTATAATTTTTGATTTTTATTTACATTGCCTTTATTAAATTTTAAATACAAACATGTACTATGCTTCACACCTCAAAGTCCCACCACGTGACCACGTACGGAACGCAGTCTTTTGAAAATTTGTCATTTAAGGCTTTTCAGGTTATCTATCTGTCAAAGTATAGTCAATGAAAGAAATAATATTTACAGTGTTACCGCTTATGTTTAAGCGTTAAAAGTTAATAAATCTTTATAGTATCACAATAACAATGGTTGGTTTAAGAATTTAGGAATATAAATACTGCATTTAATGAAGTTCCAAAGTGTAAGGTGCAATATAAGTAATATTTTTGTGCATTGGGTCTACATTTCTCCATAAAATAGTTTTAACTAAACAACATTTATTAAAAAAATCTAACTTCTCTATTAAGAAATAAGAATATCTGTATCAAAGGTAGGTTAATGTATAAGAACAAAAAATATCATCTAATTTTTTGTTTTAAGGTTAGAAAAATCTATTTTGACCAAAATAAATAAGTGGATTATTTGGAAGAGTGTGTAAATATGGTCATAAATAAAAATTGGTATACTAAATAATTGTTGAATATGGTTCAAATTAAATTGAAGCTTTTATTCTTCTAATGACAAAACTTGTGCATACCTCTCGGTATACCTACTTAAGTTAGATTATAAGAAAACAAACAATTTTTAAAGAAACTTGCACTGTGAAAATATTTAGTACTCCCATGGCATGTGATTTATTAAAATTTTTAAATTTATAATGATTTTTCGATGTAGATCAAGTTCAGTCGAAGCTATTTAACTATTTGTATTGACAAAACTTTATGTAGGTACGTACACTTTAAGCTGGATAAGAAAAACTACCACATTTTTAAATACCATTTAAATAATCCAAAATATTTATTTATTTTAGTCAAAATTAATTTTTCTAACCTTAAAATTACAAAATTAGATGATATTTTTGTTATAATATATTAACCTACCTTTGAAACAGATATTCTTATTCCATAATAGAGAAGCTAGATTTTTGTTAATAAATGCTGTTTAGAGAAAACCAGATATTTGGACCAAATGCACAAAAATATTACTTATTTGGCACCATACACTTTAGAATTTCATTAAATGCAGTATTCATATTCTTAAATTTTTAAACCATCCATTGTTATTCTAATGTTATAAAGATTTATACATTTTTAACACCTAAACATAATATTTTTTCTTTCGTTGACTATACTTTGACAGATACATAACTTGAAAAGCCTTAAATGCCAAATTTTCAAAAGACTGCGTTCCGTACGTGGTCACGTGGTGGGACTTTGAGGTGTGGAGCATATTTTTGTAAATCTAAACCTTAAAGTAAAAATTTTTTTTTGTGATAAACCATGTGTACTTAAATATATTGCATTAAAATCATAAAGTTAATAACCTATCAACTGGGAAGTTTATACTATTTCTACAGTATTTAAAAACAAACGAATTTTTGTGACCTTCCTTAAAACACAGTATATGTATATATAGTTAAGCATGCTTAACTAATGTTTGCATAGTCTAGCAGTAAAATGCCTGCCATACTAGGTACTGGTCACTCGCACTCAACCAAATTAATTTTTTTGAGTACCATTTTTAATCAAAGTTTAATTGTATTCGCGTGTTCGGTGCTTTAATTCTTTAAGCTATCTTACCCCCACCCTTCGAGGTTGCATCTCGTAAACAGTCGAGCTTACGGTGACGTCACGCTCCCACGTGACTAAGAAGGCAGTGCAGCGTTATGTGCTTATGGGGTCCTGCTAGATTTGTTAAAGTTGATAGTCAAGCACCGTACTCCCATAGTGACGCTTCTCTTGTACTAGTTCAGTCAGTGTTGACATTAAATAATATCGTGCGCATCGAATTTTGTGATTTTTTTAAAGTGTTCTCAATATGGATTTGAATTTTTTACAACATTCAAAGTTAGTTTTACTTGTTTTTTTATAATTTTTTTTCGAAAACTTTATTGCTTTATTTTTTCAGCTCGCTTTATGCAACAAGGAATACAAATTCCTATTCAGGAAATATACCTTATTACACCAACACAGGATCTCCAGAACTTCCTCAATCAACGCAAATGTGGACAAATTCAGGTAAGATTATTTTATTTTACCCCATTAAAACGGGCCATAAAAACTAAACCGTTTTATTATTGTGTATTTAAAAAAATATTTTATTTAATATTTTTTGCTTCTTGGTAATCTTTCTGCGTAAAGCGATAACTAAGATTTATTAAAAAACGGTTTTTGAACTATCATTGATAAAATTATAATTTAATCAGCTTATATTTATATCTAAATAAAGAACAAAACTCACATTTTGTGCAGAAAAATATTGTTTTTAAAAATGTTGATAAAATATATATCTACCACAGAAAAGACCACTACCACATACAGGTTGTTTTTCCTATAGTATTTTTCATGTAAAATTCTTAATCTTTAATCAAAAAACCGCCTTGGCTATACAAATAATTTAGACCAATCGGGTAAAGTTTTTTACCTCCTAGTCTGTAAAAAATTCGATTACTGTCATATCTAATCCTTATGACATAAATAATTATTTTTTGTACATAAAACTTTACTATTAATTTAATATTTTTTTATGATTATTAAATATTTCTAATGGGTTCTTAGATTTTTTGTAAATTGCTTAAATCTAAAATGTTTCTTGCTACCTAAACAAAAGTTCGTAAAAAATGAATACTTGTATTGTTTTTATCTTCCTTGTTTATTGAATTTAAAAACTTTTTACACTGCGTAATTAAATTTACTTAAAATTATAAATTAATCAGTAAATTATTTTAATAAATTTTTCCAAAAATTGACCGTGAAAATCATTGCTGCATTTTTATCGGTTTTTCGATAAAAATTTAGTCAAAACAGTGCGTTTTTAACAAGCAACTGTCTCAAGTAAAGAGGCATAAACTTAAAATAAATTATTATAACATGCTTAACGATAAAGACTTTGCAAATTATGTGCCCTATCTAGAATTGTTTTTGTAACTGACCTGCTAAATATTTTAAAAATAATAAAAAATTTACTATAGGAATTCATGTAGTTATAATTTAAAACTATATTTTAAATAAAAGTAACTTTTATAATATTCTTTTGTCGCTTAATTATTACAAATGATTACAATAAAACATTATATTTATCAACAATTGTGTAAATTTACGAAGTATGTGTGGGACATTAAATATCGATAATTTATTAAAATCTCCTATTGTCTATTTAATTTTGCGATTTTATGTTTGATTTGCTTATAAATAGTTAGTATTATTACTATGATGACAATCTATAAAAATAACTTTAATTTCATAGTTAAATATAGGTACAGAAATAATGAACAAAATATTTCTTAACAGTATTTAATTTTGTTTAAATTGTTTTCAAAAAATAAGTTCTTAAGTAATAATTAAAACTTTTATGAATTAAATTTTTTAAATTTTTCTACTCCCACCTTTAAAACGCCCTTTATCGTACATGTTTCCATGACACTAAGTGACCTTTTAAATACACATTGACAAGTTGTGGCTTTATGGCGCTTTAGTCACGGGCTGAAGTTAGCAACAGGTTTTTAGTCACGGGCTGAAGTTAGTTTTAAGTTAGTTGACAGTTGTCAAATGTCATACATTCGTTAAAATAAAGTGCCTTTCTTGTAAAATAATACTAAATGTGAAAATTATTTTATTATCTCAATGCAAGCTCGCTTGTGCCTAAATTAAATTCCTGTATAAAATGGCGTTTATCAAACTTGATACATAATATACTATTAAACAATCAAATATTAATATGTATGACTATTATCGAACAAGAACTTATCATCAGCCTCAAATAAATTAGTCTATTTGTTTATGATTTAACTGCTTGATACTTGATCTAAGATTTTATAAATGCAATCAAGCAAATATTTTTTGCAATTCCTTCAAAACGGATTTATGTTTATATTTCTTCTATTTAAAGGCCCACCTACATAAATTTAATTTTTTTTTATATGAAACAGTTAATATAGCCAACCTATAAAATCAAAATTTTACAATTATTAAAAGTATTTTTTTTTGTAAGATAGATTCAGATCAGTTATAGGATTCTTTTATTGGTCCTGACGGGTTTTTTACAGACTAGGATGTAAAAATCTTCACTAGATTGGTTTAAATTATTTTTACAGCCCATGAGATAATGAGTGTAGTAGTGTGGTAGTGAGCTTTGACAATAATTAAGCTTAAATAAGGATAAAAATATGTACTATGCTCCACACCTCAAAGTCCCACCACGTGACCACGTACGGAACGGGTGACGTTCACAATATCGAAATTCATTATATCGAATTCAAAATATCGAACACTTTTTATCGAAAATCAAAATATCGAAAATACAAAATGTCGAAAATCAAAATATCGAAAATTAAAATGTCGAAAATGATAATATCGAAAATTAAAATGTCGATTTGAAAATGTCGAATAATTAAAATTTCGAAAATTAAAATGTCGAAAATGATAATATCGAAAATTAAAATGTCGATTTGAAAATGTCGAATAATTAAAATTTCGAAAATTAAAATATCGATTTAAAAATATCGAAAATTAAAATGTATGATTAAAATCGAAGTGTATATGTACAGAGGCGCCTCTGTAGATAAAGTTACGGTTATGCACCGAATTATCTTGGCTCCCTGGCTCCTAGAGATGCGCGTTTTATAGAAATGTACTCAAACTCAACAACACAACCCAACCGACCCCGCCCCATTGCCCCCCCCCCCCGCCCCATTGAGCAAAAAACCCAACTAAAATGGGCAAATTCATGTTACGATAAAAATAAAACACTTTTTAATTACATAAATTAGCCCATTTTAGTTGGGTTTTTTGCTCAATGGGGCGGGGGGGGGCCAATGGGGCGGGGTCGGTTGGGTTGTGTTGTTGAGTTTGAGTACATTTCTATATCAGAGGCGCCTCTGTACATATACACTTCGGATTAAAATAATATGTCGATTAATTGAAATATTTAAACAAAATATCAAATTCAAAATAAGAAAATATTTCGACATTTTGTATTTTCGACATTTTAATTTTCGACATTTTGTATTTTCGATATTTTGATTTTCGATAAAAAGTGTTCGATATTTTGAATTCGATAAAGTGAATTTCGATATTATGAACGTCGATATTTTATTTTCGATAAATTGAAAATTCGATTAAATAAAATTTCGATATTATCATTTTCGACATTTTAATTTTCGATATTTTGATTTTCGACATTTTGTATTTTCGATATTTTGATTTTCGATAAAAAGTGTTCGATATTTTGAATTCGATAAAGTGAATTTCGATATTATGAACGTCACCCGTACGGAACGCAGTCTTTTGAAAATTTGGCATTTAAGGCTTTTCAGGTTATGTATCTGTCAAAGTATAGTCAACGAAAGAAATAATATTATGTTTAGGCGTTAAAAATGTATAAATCTTTATAACATTACAATAATAATGGATGGTTTAAGAATTTAAGAATATAAATACTGCATTTAATGAAATTCTAAAGTGTATGGTGCCAAATAAGTAATATTTTTGTGCATTTGGTTCAAATATCTGGTTTTCTCTATAAAATAATTTTAACTAAACAACATTTATTAAAAAAATCTAGCTTCTCTATTATGGAATAAGAATATCTGTTTTAAAGGTTAATATATTATAACAAACATATCATATAATTTTGTAATTTTAAGGTTAGAAAAATTTATTTTGACCAAAATAAATAAGTATTTTGGATTATTTAAAAGACTGTATAATATGGTATTTCAAAATGTGGTGGTTTTTCTTACCCAGCTTAAAGTGTACCTACATAAAGTTTTGTCAATACAAATAGTTAAAAAGCTTCTACTGAATTTGATCTACATCAAAAAATCATTATAACTTTAAAAATTTTAATAAATCACATGTCATGGGAGTATTAAATATTTTCACATTGCAAGTTTCTCTAAAAATTGTTTGTTTTCTTATAATCTAACTTAAAGTAATTATGCCGAGAGGTATGCACAAGTTTTGTCGTTAGAAGTATAAAAGCTTCAATTTAATTTGAACCATATTCAACAATTATTTAGTAAACTTACCTATATTTATTTATGACCATATTAACACACTCTTCCAAATAATCCACTTATTTATTTTGGTCAAAATAGATTTTTCTAACCTTAAAATTCAAAATTAGATGATATTTTTTGTTCTAATACATTAACCTACCTTTGATACAGATATTCTTATTTCATAATAGAGAAGTTAGATTTTTTTTAATAAATGCTGTTTAGTTAAAACTATTTTAAGCGGTAACACTATAAATATTATTTCTTTCATTGACTATACTTTGACAGATACATAACCTGAAAAGCCTTGAATGGCAAATTTTCAAAAGACTGCGTTCCGTACGTGGTCACGTGTTGGGACTTTGAGATGTGGAGCATAGTACCAATGTATATTTAATTAAATTTTTCAGGGGTAAACTCAAACCTCGAAGACTACTCGAAGGTGAGCACCACGTTGCCAAGCTTCCAACGACCTCTGACATCACCATTTCAGGCAGCGAACAATCACAGAGTGACGCAATACGACTCGTTGCCAAACATCATCAACGGCACCTACGATTGGCAACAGCCGACCTACGTTGATCAAAGCAGAGCCATCCACTACGGAACATCGCAAAACACCCAGCGAAATCGGCTTCCAGCTTCAGCTTCGTTGTCTGCAAGTAAGTGTCGCTAATTTGGTTATTATTAACGCATTTTTTAATAGATGTTTTATAATCTCTATCCACCATAATAAACTTAATCTGGTGATTGATTCAGAGCTACCTTTTGAGCTAGTATAGAAGAATTAAAAAAATTAAGTTTGTTGAGGTGGTACAATGAGGAAAAGTGAAAATACAATTAACTTTTGATGGTTAATCTTTTGAAATAATATTTTTTTCATTTTGATTCGTTATATTGGATTTCTTTGTGATAAAATGTAGCCATTATTTTGATACTATTAAATTAAAATAATTATCTATAATATTTTTTATATTGAGATGTCCCCCAAGTAAAAATGATTAATTTTTATTTTTCGTTGTTTCACTGTTAGTCTAGAATGGGGTTTTTGGGAAGCCACCAGGTCTAGTAATAACATAACATAAGTGGTTCTGCACTAATGCAAGAATTTTAAGAAATCATACATTTTGAATATTAGAAATTCACGGAAGATAGCTTCACGGAGGTTAGGATTTCGTATGTTTTTTTTAAACATACCTTATATTTAAAATAAGTTTTTGTATCTTTTGACACCTTAATATTTTTTGAAAATTCAATTGTACATACATAAAAATCTACTTTTTAAATAGCAAATTAAAGAAATTAAACTTTTGAATTATAAAACAGCAACACATCTGCATGTAAATTCTAACTGAGCTTCAGGAATCACATGCATCTATAATGTCGTAAACAGAGGTTTTTGCTTATTTAAAATGATTAAAGCGCCATCCGTTGCATAAAATTTAAAGCAAAAACAGATTCACGGAGGATAGAATCAATTTTTGTAACACCTACATAAATGGTTATAAAATTATTTCTTTATTTAATTTAATTTAATATTTGATTCGATTGCTTTGAATGTGTTTAATTTACTTAGTGAACTGATATTTTTAGTATGCTTTTACTACCTCAGATATTTGAAAACATATAGGTTAACCTAGAAACAGTAACAGTCACGGAGGATAGGTTTCAGACTTTTAAAACATTGTAAAAAATAATTAATTGCGGTTAAAAATCTGTAATATCTACTAAATAGTTTTAATGCGGGATATGACGTAAACAATATATTTTAAATTTGACTATCGCGCTTAATTATAAAATTTAGGGCATTTTAAGAATGCAATTTTAAAACAAATAAATTTTGATCTAGACCTACCTTAAGTTTTTGCAAATTGTCTTTTTTAATCTGTAAACAAAAGATTAGTCAATGTTAGCATTTGAAATGAACACTTTGGTCCTTTAAAATGAATTTTATTTAATGTATAACGTATTTTTGTATGTTTATTTAAGGTTCTTCAAAGTAAAAAGCGGTTATTTGCATGACGACCAGCAAATATCCTGTCCAATTCGGCATAAAAACTAATTTAAATTGTAACTCAATGAACACATTTTTAAGGTCTCTAAAGTAAAGATTTTCAATGTCACATGCTGTTTACTACAATTAGTTTTACATTTGAACTAGGTGTCTATTTCAATTAATTAACTACACTCACAGGCAAAATAATCGATCCACACAAATTTTCGATGAATTTCAATCGCAAATAACTTTTTTATTTGATTTCGGATTTATACAAATATTAAAGAATATTGTAGATACATTAATGGAGAATGGTTCACATTTTAAAAATTACTAAAAAATAAAAGTACGTTTATAATATACAGGTTTAACAAAAAGATGTTTTTTACCATAAGTTTAAGACACTCTGTAGAGTGGCAAAACCGTATATTGTTCTAAATTAAGTTTTAATTATCAAGTCACATCTATTCTTAACAGTTTTGTTTTTGGTTCACCTCGATATATTTATTTTTGTGGAAAATATGGATCTTTTAAAAAAACATTGCAATTTCCAATATTTTTCCTGTATGAAGAACTAAGGTTGCTATTGTAACGCGGAAAAATTAATTGTAATTTAATTTAAAAATATTAAAAAGTAAACTAAAAGAAAAGAATGTTAAAAGTCAAATAACGATTTTAATTAATAACTGTTTTTATTAACCCATTTAATGTTTAATGTAATTACCAAATAAACTAACAAGTGTCAAGATGGTCTGATTGATGGTCGAGGTACTTTCCATTTAGTGCGCATAATCTGGTTTACCTATAATAAAGAAAACGTACATGAGTGTCTACTCTCATAACCCTGCTAAATACTAATCAATTTAATAACGATTCGTACAATCACCAAAATACAAAGGGATATAACACGCATTGTATTTTATTGCTATTTATATAGCTAGTATAGCTTGTTCATAATCAAGGCGTGGTAACTAGGAGATCGCAGTTAGGTCACGAGGGGATTAAACACGCGACGTGACCTCTACCTAGTTATCACCCTTAGACGTAAAGGGATTAAACACGCGGTACGTCTCATACTTCTCCTAGTACTGAGTTGTGCAATGAGCATGAAGGGCTAAACTCGCAACTTGCTCGCTCCAGCTACTAGAGCTTGACCTGTGGTCGACATCTGAGTAGTGCAATGGACAAAAGGGATTAAACACGCAATTGTCCGCTCCAGATAATTTTACGTGTGTACGGACTATTATTAAATCAGTCCTTAAATCGGTTATTTTCATATTCAAAGTAAATACAATAATTACTAGTAAATAACAACGCTGCCTAAATATACATTCAGATTACTAAAGAAAAGACACTCAGTGATAAGCTCACCTGTTTAGCTTGTAGTTATTTTACACCCACAAATATAAAGAGTCTTGCACTATAAAAAGTATTTGTATCAACTGAACTAAACAACAACTTCAACACACTGCTCATACATGAATGATTCAAATGATTTTACGTTACTTAAGACTTTTATATTTTAAAATCTATGTGTGTACAATAATCGTAAACCAAAGCCCCTTTATCGTACTTATTTCAAGAGCGGCTAGAATTTCATCAAGCAGTTAATATAAACAGTCGAGCGTGTGTTTATGTATTGCCCACGTTCATTTTTCGTCATTTAATTTCGATAAAATAGGTTTAATAAAATAATGACTTACATTCGGCCATCCTGAAATCACCTCGCCCCGAGGTGGTCACTCTAGTTGGATACTGAATCATCAGAACTCAACTCCACATCATCTTCACCGCTATCACTGCTTGTTTCATCTGATATTCCTCCGTGATTAGCCCATGGCTTCATCCTGTCGACAGCAATGACCTTCTCGTAGTTAGTGGACTTAATAGTTCTATGGGACTTTGGCATGTCGACAATTAGGTATCTGTCATTTGGTAATACCGCTTTTACCATCATGGGTCCGGCATAAGGAGGGACTAATTTTCGACTAGTGCCTTCAGCTGAGCGTTGTTTCTCGATGAGTACCAAGTCGCCTTTCTTATATTTCTTGGGAGTTTTTCTTTTCTTGTCATATTGTGCCTTTTGTTTGATTTGATTGGAGGAAATTTTCTGAGCAACCTCTAAGCGTAGTGTGGGAAGATCTTGGATTAAAGTAGGAATTTTCACAATTTCATCTAGTAAAGGTATACTTGTTCCACGTCTAGGCTTATAACCATAGAATAGTTCTGTCGGTGTCTTTCCTGTTGTTTGTGAACAAGTAGTATTAATTATTAACTGAATATTCTTTATATTCTCATCCCATCTATCTTCATCAGTAGTTGTTGCCAAAATAGCTCCTTTAATTGTGCGATTCAATCTTTCAACCTGCCCATTAGCTCTTGGTGTAGCTACTGCGTTTTGTATATGTTTAATAAAGTTATATTTGCAGTATTGTTTAAATTTAGATGAGGTAAATGCACTTCCCTGGTCAGATACTAAGGTATGGGGATGACCATAGTAGCTATAAATTTCCTGTAAATAATCAATAACTAGCTTTGTTTTTGTCGACTTTACTGGTTTCAAAAACACAAACTTGGTAAAAGCATCTACAGCTACAATAAGATGAATATTTCCTCGACGACTTTTTGGAAAAGGTCCTACATGATCAATGTGAATCATGTGTAATGGTACAGGCATCTTCTCGATAGGATGTAGAAATCCTTCTCGCTTTCCACTTGGACGTTTGTTAAACAAGCATGGAATGCAACAAGTAATGTATTTCTGCACGTATTCTCGCATTCGAGGAAACCAATAATGCTCACATAATCGTTTCAACGTCTTTTCTGTAGCGAAATGTCCACTTTCATCATGTGCCATTCGAACTATCTGTTGTCGCATACCACGTGGTATTACCCAAAGTAATCCTTTTACAGTTATGCGATAAATCCTTCCATCTCGCAAAGCGTAGTTTTTGTATATTTCCTTTTCATAATCAGAATTTGGTGGCTTGGACAAAACTTCTTTAATTTCTTTCAGCTTTTCGTCTGTAAGTTGTCCTGATAAAACCCAATCAGCTTGCTCTACTCGTAAAATTTCAGCTGGTGGTTCTTCACTTGTTGATGGGTTTCTGCTAAGAGCATCCACATGTTTTAATCTATTACCCGGTCGATAATTTACCTCGAAGTTAAAATCTTGCAGTTGCAACCACCATCGTGCTATACGGGGTAGTATATCTTTTTTTGTACTTGTTGCTTTTAAGGCATTGCAGTCTGTTACCACAGTAAAGTGCAAACCTAGAAGGTATACTCTAAACTTCTTTAAACTTTCCACGACTGCCAAAGTTTCTAATTCATAAGAATGAAATTTACTCTCAGTGTTGCTAGTTTGCCTACTGTAATATGCAATTGGATGCAAACGCTCATCTGGTTGTTTTTGAAGCAAGATTCCAGCCAAACCGTGTGAGCTTGCATCTGTGTGGACTTCCGTGTGAGCATCAGGATTAAATATGGCTAGAATTGGTCTTTGGGACAAAGCTGATCGTAGTTTTTCAAATGCTTTCTGCTCATCTTCTCCCCAATGCCACGCCACGCTTTTCTTTAACAAGGCAGTTAGAGGCCGCGCTATTGTTGCATAATCCTTGACGAATTGTCGAAAATAACCTGTTAGTCCAATAAATTGGCGGACGT